TATGTATTTAGTCTTTACTGCTTTACTTTAAATAAAATCCACCTAATCTATTTATAAAATGTGACTGAAGTAATGATAAAATTCACTTTATTGAATAGGTAATATTATATATTTTCCAGGCACATCTAGTGCCATTTTACAGCACAATCAAATAACAATGTCAACTTCAGCTGCTATAAAAATGCTGTATGTATCGAGCATAACTTAAAAGAAATTTGATGCCTTAAAATTGGGTCTCTGTCTCTTTAAGAAGCTCCTGCTCTTTCAGTTCGTCATCAAAAAAATGGTTTTCCAGTATGCCGTTTACAATTATTATAGGGAGTGTTGTGCTGGGAAGTAGTTTGTATGATAAGCCCCTTTTAATTGAATAAAATTAATTTGTAACAAGGTGTAATGTAACCGCAACCGTTGCTACGATGAATCCTTAATTGGCAATAACAGTTTCAGGATTAAGAAGCGAACAAACAAGCTTATTTTGACTGTTGCCATTAAACTAGAGACACCAGTCGAAATATTTCAGATTTCAGAGAAAAGCAGCGAAATATCCCTTTAATTTAGCCCTTAAACATCACAAAAATAAATACTTTCATCACTTGTCTGAGGAGACAAACATGGCAAGAGAATAAATAGCATGATGATGAGTGTCGGACTGCAGGGCAAATCTCAAACACTGAACAAGCAGTTTAGCAACATAAAACTAATTTGGGGTGTAGATTTCCTTCTTTCTTTCTTTCTTTCTTTCTTTCTTTCTTTGTTTTTCTCCAATTCTTGTGCCACTGTGCTGTTTTAAAGAATGTTTAAAGAACATAACCTATTATGAGAAAGAAAAGTAAATGTGATGGTTGAGGTATTTTACAACAATATGTCTTTCAAAAATAAGATATACTTAAAATAATTACAGATTGTACTTTCTGTAAATACTTCTTTAATGACATGGTCTGTACTTTGTTTAAATATTTTCTCATGGCATGCCCTGAGTGCAAATTTAACAAAACTTTTAAAATAAACCCAGATGAGAAACTGTAAGAGAGAGTGAGAAGAAGAAGAAAAACAAAACAAAATACATCAACAATTCAACATAATTGACAGCTGCATCCATTTGCTCCGTCCAATCCCTCCGTCTCCACTCTGTTCTTCCAACACCATTTCCTCTTTTAATTACCCCCTCACAAAAAAAAAAAAAAAAAAGATGGAGCACATCAGACGCATCGCGGTAAATCCCGGGCCTGGCACGGCCTCATAGTGGCTCCCGCGTCTGGCAGTCCCGATAGAGCCCGCACGCTGGCAGCGACAAGAGAAGTAGAGGGTCGCCTGGAGATTTTCTGACGGGAAGAATTGAGAGGATGATCTCTCGGCGAAACAGAGAGGTCCTCATTCTCCTCCCGGCGTGGGAGGTTTTTTTTTTTTTTTTTTGGCAAAGCACTTTCTCATCATACCACATTTTCAGCTACCAGATTAGCCGGCTCTCAGGAGCAAAACTCACACACAGACTCCCTTGTTTACACCTCAGTACCATAATGTTTTTTGTAATGACTGTTCTGTAAAAGGGCACGTTGCAGGCACTGCAATCGCAGCTGCTCTCCTATCTCCTTGCACAACATTTTAGAGGTGAGACCTATTGTATATAGCTGGGACAGAGAAAGCATGATTTAGATTAAGGGAATGGGAAGTCTTTCATATTGAAAGAAGTCTCCTCTGACCTGAAATGTGGTTTTTACTGAGTGAATTCCACATTCTAATTACATATCATCCGGCCCAATGGATTTTTCTTTGGCAGGCTGGATGTTTCCACTCTGATTGCTTTTTGTCAAAGTTTCTCCTCTCTCCGTGGGGCGCACATCAATCACCGGCAGCCATTCCGCAGGCTAACCGTGGCATCATCTCCCACGCGATTACACCCAATTCACATCGAGCTCCTCGGACACAGTGGAGCTACAAATAGCCTATTGCTCTGGTTCCCCCCTTACCCTTTTCTCTCTCTTCCATCATCCTGAGATGAAGAGTGGAAAGCTCCCGCAGCGGGTGGCTTTCTTCTCCTCCTGAGGGGAACTGAGAAAGCAGGCGAGGGCCTCTGTGATGTCAGTTTCCCTTCAGGGTGGGGAGGAGACGTCTTGCAGCGCAGCTAAAGACGATCGCTTGAGATCCAGAGAAACAAGGCTCCCCTTTCCCCTGGAAGCTGCAGGAGCATAGTGGGAGTCAGGGTGAGCTGACGCTCCTCCATGATGCAAATTACAACGACAGTGGTAAATGTGGCAATCGGTTCCTCTTGAGCGAACTTTTAATTTATTTTTTTTTCCCTCTGTGAAAATGTTAAAGGTCAGGAGAGTTCAGCTTTCAGAGGAAAAAGCTTCAACTGAAAGTACCAGAGTTCAGGGTGGCCCAAAGTTAACTAAGGCCCTAAGCAGAAACTTCATCTTGGCTTACTTTTAAAAGCAGGATAAACTTAAAAACAATAAATCCCTGAATAAACTGTTTATCATCAGTCATTCTTGATTGTTCATTTAAAAAATTTAGCACCTAGTGTAAAATATGTTGCCAGGGCAAAGTCAGTGGCAAGCTTTAAGGTATTCTGAGAAAATCATTAGTGGAATAACAACAATAATAAAAATTATGTGTCATGATCTGTGCGGTGAGAGATGCAACGCCAGTACCAACTGGTATTGAAACGAACAGAGAGACAATCTTGACAGAATGACGCCGGAACAAAACAAAGACCCAACAGAGACGCTGAGACACAGGTGAGGTTAAATACACGGAGGGCAATCAAGGAAATGAGACACACCAGGGAACAATCAAGGGAAGGACGCGACAGAAAAACACGGATCCTGAAATTAAGTTAATTTGAAAGAATGCATCAGAATAATACAGCATTTTCTATTACAAATAAAGCTCATTCAAGTTTTTTGTTGTGAGGAGAAACCAATATTGGATCAGAAATTCTTGTCTCATCACTTTGCAGATTGTTTTAACTCAAGGTTTTTCTGTCTAGGGTTAGAGTTAGGGTTGAGGCAGAGTCTGAAAGCCCTCGGCCTTAAATTAAATAACAGCGGAAATGAGAAGATTTAAGTGATTTTTCCAGTCCCCTTTTTCTTTTTTATTATTTAAGCTTAACTGGACTTCATGGCAGAGTACAGCTCCAGGCTCCAGTCTCATGCTTGGATTCAGTTGGAATCATCAAAATGAATGACTCTCCTGCGTCTGGAATCTACGGAAGTGGTAACACTCATTACACGGCATTGTGACCACCGACAGTAAAACAAAAATAGAGGATTTAGTTCATTTTTTTGCCCAGACTACAGTTCACAGATCCTCAAATTTGGAGTTAGAGGTTCCACCAGTTAATTGTGGATTTCGTCAATGGAACTCCATAACAGAACAAACTCTTACCACTGCTGTCACCATCATGTCTGAAAAGCATTTTGGGAAGCTGAAATCAAGGCAAAATGTCTTTGGCTGGCATTTGTAATGCAGCCAATCCTAGAGCGGGATTCCTATTGTTAAAAGCAGCGTTAAAGAAGAATGAGGAAGTTAGTTTCTGCTATTATGTCAAGACAGTTTACTCTAGTTATGCATACTATTTAGTGTTTCAACTATTAAAGTGGGTATTTATCTGGATTTTTAGGGCTCTTTGGATGCCCTAAGTATCAGATTATTTCACTCATCCATCGGACTGACTGTCAGAGCATCGAACAAGCTCAACGTTTTTGCGGTACTGTTTCCCTCTTGTGAGTTGTATTTCACATTTGATAAAGATGAAGAAAATCCTTAATTTATGAACATATAAAAAATGTAAATATTTGTTCTTAATAGATTCTGATGGAACATTTCATTCCAAAGTAAACCTTTGCTCCAAAAACTCGCAAAACAAAACAAAACATCCCATTTGATCATCTACTACAATTACGTTGCACGGCGTGATGAAAGGAAATCAATGAACTACTTATGTCACAAGAAAAGAGCAGCACTTCATACATGAAACCGGCTGAAGCCATATGGGAGTTTGGGGAGGATCAGTGATCAAAAGAACATGAAGCTCATCAACACTGTTTCTCGACATTTAAGCAGTGTCATATGGCTTTGGAAGTAAAGCCAGGATAGCTGTGGTTTTACCCAGGAACATAATGGTTGTGTTTGTTTTTATATGCTGTGAAAAGCCAGTAAAGTGTAGATGGGGCCGGTGGGGGTGTGCGCAGGGTCTTTATCATGATGAAAGGCTAAAAGATGGGACTGACCTTTCTGGCACCAGCTGGGCTTTGGGACCACAATGCACGGCGGCAACTCTTTCTGGCACTTTCCCCCTTCAGCTCTAGGCTTCACTTACAAGCCAAACACTCAAGTCCAAACATCTATCATTTTGCACAAAGACTCAAACACACTGATGCCCCGAACACCCTCCTTTTTTATATCACAGAGGCGCTCACACACCACAAAGTTCTGTATATCTGCAAACAGACCAGTCCCGTCTGGCATCACAGTGCAACTGCAGGCTATGGAAGCAGAAAAGCGAGAGTGGATCACTGCAGATTACATCAACGCAGAACTTCACTCGGCCCAAAGTATCATCACCACTTTCCTTCAACAGAAGCTAAGCAACAGTAAGCCTTTCATCCAGAACACTCCAGTAAACTGCCTCTTTGTAGTCATTTAAAGCTGTAAACATGTACAGTTTCCCATCTAAGAAAAACTTGAAGCAAAAAATCAGACCGAGTTTGGTGAGTGGGCCTCAAAAAATGACCTGTACACCTCAAATGCTTTGTTTCTAGGGGGCCACATAACCAAAGCGCTTTGTGTGACATTTCAAAAGGAAGCATCACACGGTGGAACAAGGATCATGCAAGCACAGAATAACACTTGTATGCTGTTCATTTTTTTGTTTTTCTTTTTGACGACAGCGTGGGGGGGGTGGTTGCCAATTCTATAGGTAAACTCTAGCAGACAGGAGGAAAGTTAACCCTGGGCTCACACACAAAGGAAACAGTGGTCAACATCTGAAAAGGTAAAGAGTAGTCGTCCCTGACGCATCAAAGGCCTCCTGGCCAGCAGGAGAGTATAAAAGGTCCTGTAGGTGAGCGCAGGGCTACGGTGCGAAAACATCCACAGCCCTGCAGCCATGGGAAAGGTATGAGCTCCTCGTGCAGCAAGGAACCAGCCAGGGCAAAAGAGCAGAAAAGGAAAAACGTATTCTGTGTTGGAGTAACGGGAACAAAAAAAGGGAGAAAAGTTACAAACTACATGGTTCCAATCATATTTTTTCTCCTTTGCCATTTTGTACTTTTACAATTTTTAGTTTTATCTGATTTCTTCAGCTGTAAAAAGTTGTAGTCTGGCAACAATGGAAACTAGTTCAGAATTTTAAAAAAATGCAATTAAGTTTAATTATGAGTGAAGTTTGAGAATTTTTCTGATTTCCTTTCATGAAAATTGTTAAAAAATACTCAACAACTTAAAATGCACTGATATGCAAAATTCAGGAAGGTTAGGTATGAAGTAGGAATTTAAATATGTTTTTCCAGGTAGTAAAAAACTGACCTAAAAATTCAGACTGAATGAATATACACAGAATAAACAACTTTTCACCCATCAAGCAATAAAATGTCAGTTCAAATGGGCAGCACTGTATAAATGTGAGTTAAAATGCTTGCCTTCCTCCCTTTAGATTGTGTTTTACGAGGGCCGAAACTACATGGGCCGCCACTGGGAGTGCAGCAGTGACTGCATGGACACCTTCCGGCACTTCAACTGCTGCAACTCCATGCGTGTCAGCGGCGGCTACTGGGTGGCCTACGAGAAGCCTCACTACATGGGCTACCAGTACATCCTCGGCCCCGGTGACTACCCGGATCACCACTCCTGGATGGGCTACAACAGCTGCATCCGCTCCTGCCAGATGTTCCCCCCTGTAAGTTTATCAGACAGACGGATCAGTGGCACCTTGCACATAAAAAAGCTGCTTTAAAACATGTCACTCACTAACACAGGTCATAGTTTAAAAGGTTTCTGCTTAGGTATTGTAAGAACAGGATGTGCTCTAACCCCCTAAATCAGGGCTGTCAAGCTCATTTTCATTTTGGGCCAAATCAAGCTCATGGATGCTCTTAAAGGGCCGATTGTGCCAGAATGCATCAATAAAACCAGTTCACAAACTGTTCAAATATCAACAAATTCTTAAAATTAAATATTCTTTAACATCGTTTCAGTCCCTCCAGGATTTCATGATTCTTTTTGTGATTTTTTGCAATAAAATTCAAAGTATTTGTGGTACTAATTTGACGGTAAATGCGACATTTTATTATTTGATGTACAGATCATGGAGTATAATCTGACATCAATCAAGGCTGAGGCAGCTGTTTAGTACAATTTAAAAAGTTTTTAATCATTTTTGAGAAAAATCTGCAATAAACTCCCAGTTACAAGCACAATCAGTTGATTTTGCGTGAATCTCCATAATAATTCTCAGGGAACTGGAGGAACTGATTGGAACAAGCAGATAAAAATGGCATTGATTTGATTGGTAACATAATATTTAAGCACACTTAATGTTCAGTCTAGAACCTAGAGGGCCAAATAAAAAGCTATGGCGGATAGATTTCAGTTTGACTCGTGTGCCCTAACGGTAGATTTGTAAATGTTCTTCCACGGATGCATCAATATTGAAACAGCATGATAATCAAACTCTAATGTGTTTCATTTGCAGTATAGAGGATCCTACAGGATGAGGCTCTACAACAGGCCCGAGATGATGGGGCACATGATGGAGTTCATGGATGACTGCCCCAACGTGTACGACCGCTTCCATTACCGAGACATCTACTCCTGCAACGTCATGGAGGGCTACTGGATCTTCTACGAGCATCCCAACTATAGAGGACGGCAGTACTTCATGCGCCCAGGAATGTACAGGTCCTGCGGGGACTGGGGCGGCTTCAGCCCCATGATTGGCTCTTTCAGGAGGATGAGGACTAACATGTAAAACTCCACCTATGCAATCATCAAGTGAACAATAAACATGTAACTCTAAAACAATGGGTTTTCTTTTGGTGGTATTATTTAAAGAAGTCTATGCAATTACAAAATCATGCATTTCTGGCATTCATGCAGATCCTGCAACTCTTACTGAGGGCCTCAGGGGAAAAAACGCAGTTGTACAGTATTTTTCTATAGACGGGCAGAGCTTTGACAGAGACAAAGCAGCTGCTGCAGCTTACCATTCCGATAGTGTCCTACCTTGTATAGAGCGTACTGTGCTGACAGGACAAAGCTTTGTGTCAAGCTCACAAAGGCCTGATCCCAGCAGGATCTATAAAGAGGCCTGGTCAGAAGCTTTGCACTCGATCTGGTCTGAACTTAACTGAACAAAGTCACAATGGGCAAGGTAAGCTTGAGTTTTTAAGTTTGACAGAGTTACTGAAATACAAATACTTGATTTGTAGATTAGAGTAATCACAAGCGAAATTAAATTGAGGATATATAGCGATCAATACGTTTGGAATAGGAAAAGCTGCAATGTCAATACATAAAGTAAAATAATTCAAATTAAAATGCAAAAACAAATAGAAAAATATTTGTTTCTACTCTTGAGGATTGTATTAAATATAACTTTCTTATTTTAAATTCAGAATCAGACTTTTATTCTCCATTTAACTGGATTTTTAATTTTTTATTCAACTTTACTTCAGGCACTTCATGTACTAATTTTTATTCACCTGCCAAGTTTTTCAAAAATTTACGACTTACAGTCATAAAAAATAATTCAATAATTAACCTGAGTTTTCAAACCTGGCTCAGAATAAAACAGGTTTAAAAACCATTCAATGTAGAGACCCTCTCCACCTATTGCTGAAGGACATGACGAAAACCATTCTCTCTTTTTCACAAAGTACTGTCGAAGTAAACTTAGGATTTCATTGAAAAGATTAAATCAATTCAGTGAAATATCAGATTCTTTACAGGGAGTGATGTATTTGATTGATTATGAATGACAGGAAATGCAACCTTTTAATCTGCATGAATGACTTTAGTGGCGTCGCGTCGCATGGCGTCAAGTCAGTGTGACATTGTGTTGCAAATCAAGAACCCCTGATTGCTTTCATTGTACCCTTAATCACATGTTTTGCGGTCTGATGACTCTTGTCTTTCTCTTGAAAATATTGTAATACCTACCAAGTCTTGAAAACTTGATACCCCAACAAGATTAAATATTTACTTTTATCTTAAAATTGGGCTTCGAACCATAAAGTCAGACTTACACCAACCCTTCAGTTCTCCCTGTTGCATTGCACATGCCACACTTTTTCCTCACACTCCACTTTCCATTAATGCACTTAATACACTCTGTGAAGAGTCAGGGTTTTTTTTGGCATTGATTGTTTGTGGATGGTGTCATGACTAACTTCTAGTTCAGCAGTCTTTCCAATGTATTTCTGTATTTAGCAATATTTAGATTTACTGAGGAAGCCAAACTTTTGGTTTTCATTATAAATAAGGAGAAATGCATTGAGAGGCTCCTGTACTTTTAACTGTTAACACTCATTGGTTAGGACAGAACAGATCACTGCGGTTCAGCCAGGGGTCGATTATTCATTATTAGTGATCCTAAAAGTAGAAAACAAAAACCATGTCAGCGATAGGCACTGATGAGTTTAACCCTCTAGAATTTGCAGTTTCCAACACACATTTCATATGAAATTCTTCGTTGACTGTTTGTTGGTCTCGGAGCTCCAATCCAAGCCTCCTTCGGTTCTGCGATGCTAAATTTATTGGTATTTTATGAACCACCAGAGAGAACTTGGAGGATGGTGGTGATACTTTAATGACCGACTGTCTTTCGAATGCAGATTATCTTCTATGAAGACAGGAACTTCCAGGGCCGTAACTATGAGTGCAGCAGCGACTGCTCTGAGATGCAAAGCTTCTTTAGCCGCTGCAACTCCATAAAGGTCGACAGCGGCTGTTGGGTGGCCTACGAGAAGCCCAACTACTCTGGCTACCAGTACATGCTGCACAAGGGAGAGTATCCCGACTACCAACGTTGGGCCGGGTTCAACGACTGCATCCGCTCATGCCGTATGGTGCCTCCTGTGAGTTTTTGATAGCTACTCGAACCTGATAGCAGTAAAGTTTTCTCTAATCGTGCAGCACTGAAACTGTCACACTTTCCTCTGCAGTACAAGGGCAACTACAGGATGAAGATCTTTGAGCGTTCGGACTTTGCCGGACAAAATCTAGAGCTGGTGGAAGACTGCCCAGATCTCCACGAGCGCTTCCACACCCGTGACATCTCCTCTGTCAACGTCATGGAGGGCTACTGGATGCTGCACGAACACACCAACTACAGGGGGCGCCAGTACTTCTTGCGTCCAGGAGAGTACAGAAGGCACAGCGAGTGGGGAAGCACCAGCCCTACCTTCGGCTCTCTGAGACGTGTCACAGAGATCAACTGATTTATAGTTCATTTTTCTTTTTTTTACCCCCTCTGTCTCCCAGTCTTTAACCCTCATCCCTTTTGTTTCTCAGATGCCAGCTCTGTTGGAGCGCGGTCTCAGCTGTGTGGTCTCCAAACCTGCAAACAAACAGTTTAATGACGGAGATTTGATCTATCTGAAGTGGCCTTTTGGCTTTGCTTGGTCGCTTTGCATTGAAGTTGTTTTCCAACTCAGTGCTCATTCAAATCTCACACAGAATATTAATCTTTCTCGCTTTGGTTGTTCCATCGTGAAAAAGATTTTGCCCGCAGGTCCTGAACCTTCTATCCTACTGAAATCACAATAAATGAAAACTTGATGAAAATCAGCAAAAGGGACTTTTCAATTTTTCGTTCACCATCACAGCTGTCATTGTCAGATGATCTTCTCTTAAACTTTAAAAGCAAATGTGGATGCAAACATAAAGAGTAACCACTGAGGTCCTTGGAAGACCGAGAGCTTGCGATTGTCTATAGTGTCATTACACAAACACAGAGAGAAATTATCAAGGAAACAGAAGCTCATTCTTTGAAGTTTGCTCTTAAAGACAAAAAGAAGAGTATCTGAGGATGGGCATGTTGGAGTCTTTATGAGATCACATGCTAGAGTGAGAGCTCCGGGTCCATGAAAGTTGCCTGTGTTAGATCAACATCACAAGACCAGTGCCAACTCAAAGAGCCGGAGTCAAAGTGGCCTGTTATTAGCCCCAAGCATCAAGCTCTCTCAGAACAAAAAACAAAACCCCGTCCACATCCTCCACTCATGCATTTTTCATCACACCCAGATACTGAGCCCTTTCAGAAATAAATATCAATTATTGAAATTGTTAATTAGACGCCACGTAATTGGAGAAGATACACATGAATAAGTAACTTTGACCATTAATTATTGATTTAAAAAATTTGAAGCCCAGCAGGGAAAGCATTTGAGCGCCTTAAGATCAAGCTAAACAAGTAATATGAGTTTTGGCCTTGAGTAATGTTCAATTAAAGGAGTGCAGCGATTTGCTGATCGTGTTTTTTTTTTTTTTTTTTTACATCCTCGAACAACAATGCCCAGTGGACAGAAAAACGTCAACAGGGTTCAGGGGAACGGTTGTGCCGGGTTCTCGGGGCGTTGATGGTGAGAGATGACAGAGGATGTCCAGAGACGAATCTGTGAGGTTGTTTAAGCAGATGTGAGGCAGTGGTTTATGATATTAATTAAATTAGTTGACGAGGAATTTGACTGTAATTCACAAGGGCCCAGCGTAAAGACATTTAGTATAAATTGATTAATCTTAAGGGAGATTACAATAAGGATAAAGGAACTACAGTGTATGGACAGTTATTTATGTGTTCATGGATAAAAAAGAAAAATAACTAGATGGATTTTATGTGCCCTTGTCCTGTCTGATACCTTTAAAGATGTCAGGAAACATCTAATAGAATAGCTTAACTATATTTCCAATTAATCAGATTTAATGTTATTCATGGCAGGTGTAAATTTAAATCAGAAAGTTGCTCAACAATTCATTTGCAACAAACAAACGTTTCCATTTGGTTTCCTTCGTTACTTTTTCTTTGGTTGTCTGGTGAGTTGTCCATTTGGAAAAGTTTTGAAATCACTGCACAAGTTTTACGTCCATCCTACATATTACCTGCTGATTTTCATGTTATACAATCATAGAAACACTTTAAAGTCACTTTCCGGAAAACAAAGTCTACGACTCATTGTTCAAAAGATTTTACTGCTAGTAAAAAGTAATTCATTTTTTATTCCATTTCGAAATACATCATGGGGTTTTGTGCGGAATGTATGCACTAAATGTATGCAGTCACACCTAAACGGCGTCAGCTGGAACCACAGCTAACTTTGATTCATCAGATTGGATAAAATAAAACACAATGCACCAAAGAGCTAATCCTCATTGTCCCTGCATTGTTCCTTCTCTACCTCCAGTCATGATGTTTTCAATCGCTTTGCACATAAAAAGGCCAAAAAAGTGAAATCCGAGTTTTCTCCTCTTCTTCTTCATCTCTGAATCCTTTGGACTTATGACAGGAAGCTGATTGAAGGGTAAGTAGTGCATTTTGGAGAATGAATTCTTTAGATGATGGAAAAGAGAGAAAGATGGGGGTAGAAACAGAAAAAAACCCAGAACATAAGTCTGTGATTCCATTATTAGTCTCAGTTCTCCTCGTCTCTCTTTTCATTTCTGATGGCTGGATAATTAAACCTCTGTAGTATTGTCTTCCATCTTCCTTTGCCCCACTTCCAGCAACGCAAATTTCCCTATGGGCAACTTTAAAACAGGCCCCCTTTTAGACATCTGTTTTTCTGATCAGCATGACTTCTCTTCCCCCTCCTTCACGTTAATTTGTGTTCTTTGTAAAAGTAGAAAGACTAGAGCCAGGACAGCGATGAGCATACATATAGAAACCCTCAACACTTCAACAGCAGGAACAAAAGGAAATCAAAGAAAGTAGGAAAAAGAAACCCCAAATATTCTTCCTCAACTCTTTTTATTATTTTATATTTTTTTTATTCCACATTACTCTCATTAAAGAACCAAAAACCAAA